GAATGATGATGTGTGCCGAAGGCCGAAGGCCGATGCCAAATCATTGGGGAGATGTGAAGACATCGCTCGCGCCGAATGATGCAAGGGTACCGAAGGCCGATGCCGAATCATTGGGGGGATGTGAAGACATTGTGCGCGCCGAATGATGCAAGGGTACCGAAGGCCGAAGGCAGATGCTGAATCATTGGGGGGATGTGAAGACATCGCACGCGCCGAATGATGCAAGGGAGCCGAAGGCCGAAGGCAGATGCCGAATCATTGGGGGGATATAAAGACATAGCACGCCCCGAATGATGATGGATGCCGAAGGCCGACTGTAGGAGGTGCCAAGGGCATGGCTCAAAAGGGTGTCGAGAGCACTCGTGAAGGAGAACGACATAGTGTTTTGTATCGCTTCCCACAGACGGCGCCAATCTGTTTGCGCTAAAACTAGACGGGTAGTAATTAGGCCAACTTAAAGATGAGGTGGATGTCGAAGGTGAGGACCCTCAGTATTTAAGAGCATTCGGTAGATAAATGGACATGCATACAGAAGACAAATGTACGTGGTTCACCCGAATAATGGGCTACGTCCACGGAGAAGTATGTTCTCATTACGATAATGTTGTATACAATGCACATAGGGTTTGACCCAAGGATAAGAGGAAGACTACCGAAGGCTGATGGCCGAAGGCAGATGGCTGATGGCTGAAGGCTGAAGGCTGATGGCGCCGAAGGCCGAAGGCTGATGGCCGAAGGCTGAGGATCTGGCTGAAGGCCAATAATCCGTGGATTTTAAATGGGCTCATGGGTAAGCCCGTGAGGCCCAAGTAGCCTACCCAACTCTCTCCCTTCTTGAAGGGGAGAGGTCTCCTTCTATAAAGAAGGGAGAGTCCCCTCCTCTTGTGTTTTGTCGATGTGGGACTCCCTTCCCTTTGGCTTGGGAGTGTTTGGGGAGTGCTTGGCAAGATATTGTACAAACAGGGTCAACGGGGCCCACGACCTTCCATTTCCAATCTGAGAGTTCCTATGGGTTCAATAAGGTATACTATACCTGTCCTGCAAGTTTGGTCCGAATTGAACGATCGAATCGCTCACGATTGGACGATTATCTTTTATCTAAATTTTGAATTATTGAATCAAAGCATCCGGGACTTTGATTCTCGATCCGCGAATTCCTATATGATCCTAGAAGTGCCTAGATCAACATATTTGGAAATGAAGTTGATCTAATGGTCCAAACCAATCGAACTGGATAACACCTAATAGGCGTACTATCCGTACAATAGTCAAACAGTATCCAATTGCTAATCCGAGCGTACCGTCGTGCTCAGGATGACATGGAGAGTATTTTGGAACTCTATGATTTGCCACCAAGTGGCCCAAGCGCCTCTGCCTGCCACGGGCAACAATGGGTGTCTTGATAGATTTTCCAACTCCAAACCACCGGCCAATACCTATACCAACGTGTTCAGACTAATAAGGAGAGCAACTTTTGATCTCGGACCACGGCCAAAAAATGGCTGAAAATGGGTGAAAAAGGGCCAAAATAGTTGGCCCAATATGGGTATTTAAAACAATCTTCAAAACTTCAAAATTAACCCAAACTAAATACATAAATAGGTAGAGCACAAAAAGGGGATGAATTTCCATACCTCACTCGTTGGATTCCGTGGCTGGAGTCGCCGGAAAATGCAAAAATACCGCTGAAAAAGCCTAACCATTTCCTAGCTTCAATTCGAGCTCATCATCAGCGAATCGGATCGGGTCTTGGGTGGGATTTATAGAGGAGGACGAGAGGAACACTTTTCATGAAGGTGACACGGCCAACCGGTGAACGACGACGTCGATTTTGTGGCTTGGAAGTCGAACAGTCGCAAGAGGAGACGATGAAAATAGCTGAAGCTGGAGGAAGAAGAAGAAGAGAGAAAAAAAAGAAAAAAGAGCCCCGGTACTGTAGCAGACTGTAGCAGTAAGAAGTTTTAAAATTCCCTTTACGTCCTTTTCGTTTTTAGACATTTCCTTCTTCGTTACAACTCGGAATTGGGCTTGCCGCATGTCTGCGAACTCGTTAAAATATTCCCGGGGTAAAATCGTCTTTTACCTAAATAAATTAATAATTAAATATTAATTTATGATCGGGTTGTTACAGAAGTAGATAGAGTTAGTGATTGAATAAAGAAAAGAGCTGAGAGCATCCACAATCATGCTCTCTATTTTTCAGTTAAATTTTAGGTAAAAACATATAAAAGTTACTTTAGGAGATCTCTATAAAATTTAAACTCTAATCATGCTCTCTAGTTTAAGGAGTTATAAATGCTATAACTTTTTTTTTTATAATTGGTCCATCTTTATTATAAAAAAATAATATAAAAAATAGTTAGCATTAACTAAAGGTTTGAAATACTCATTAAATAAAGCAACTTTAAATTATAGAGAGCCATTATGAGTCCTTTTTTCTCTCCTCATATTGAAGAGCTCCTAAAAGATTCCATATTTTAGGAGGTGGATAGGGAGCATGGTTGGAATTGTATTTTTCCAATTCTTTCCTAAAATTTGTCTAAGGAGATAGTTTAGGGAGCCCTTTGTGGATGCTCCGAGAGGGGAGAGAAATGAATAAGTGGTAGTATTGAGGAAGAGAAAACCTTGTATACTGTGTGGAGTTATGTTTCTCAAAATCAATAAATGAATACTTTATTTTCATTATAAAAAAATTCATATAAATTGCATTTCTAACCCTTAGATGACTCATTATCTAGTGGTTAAGAAAATGTATCAAACTGTGTGATTTTATGTGTGTCCCTCGATCATGTATAGATATATGAGTCCCCTTCTATAGAGGGATCCCTAAAATAATTTTATTTGAGGAACGCCCTTTAAGGTACCTTACAATTTTTTTTTAAAAAATGATCCAAACCATCTGTTTTTTAGGTCTTCATTCATAGATCATCCTTGCAAAAAATTAGATAAATGGGAAACCGTTTCATATCCAGTTGTGTCATACAAAATTAATGAACACGGTGCTTCAAGAAAATACTAAAATTTCAATAATTCAATTGTGTGGTCAAATGATATCGGATTCAAGTGATTTTTGACAGAGATGATCTTTGAACGAGTATTTACAAAATAGACGGTTTGAATTAGTTAAATACAATACGGAGTGGGCCCCACAAGAGTGTCCCTCAAATAAATTAGGGATCCTCAACTGAAGCACATGATTATATATAGACTCACATAGCGTAACGGTGCTTGAGAAATATCTTTAGATCTGGACCGTTGAGAAGAGACACGTGGTATGATCTCACGTGGGATACATGGACGAATAGTCAAACGGCAAACAAGCAGAAGGTAAGAATGTTGGGGTCCCACTTGGCAATATTGGTTTGAACCGAGAATGGAAGCGATGTGGACGTTTGATATTTGGAGCCCATGATTATGTTTGTTAAAGCTAGAGGTGTGTAAACAGAAGCAGCCATGAGCCCAACCGGGTCAACACGTGAGGCCAATGGCCCAACAGCAGCCTGGTAGAGTAGAGTGGGGGGTAAGTTCAATTTAATTTTAGTAATGTTTGTTGTTATTATTATTATTATAATAATATTTTGGATTTTGGAAGGGAAGCAATATGTTTGTTAATTTGAACTGAAGTAGAGTTTAAAGGGTTGATTTTAGTGTGTGATATGGAGAGACGAGAGACACGTCCAATGATTAGGCCAAAAAGGTAAAACGCTCTCTCGTCATTGCAAACGACTACTCAAATCTCGTTCATTTTTAAAATTAATTATGACATCAACAGTGAATTGGGCGTAATTAATTGGTATTAGTTAAATGCTCAGTCCACGGTTTGCTTTGATCATCACTTGAGCAACAGCCTAAGCCGGCACAGCTGCTACCAGCCTACCAGTCTCACCAGAGCATTGTACTAGCAGCCGGCTCTCTCTCTCTCTCTCTCTCTCTCTCTCTGAATTGCTTCAAGAAAAAGTGCTCTCATTTCTGATGAGCTCCAAAAGAATGACAAGATAATCACCCACTCCACTTGGGAGGCTACTTGTTCAATATGGTAAGCATGTTTCTGAACTCAGCTTTTTTTCTTTATTGGGTTTAACAATATTATAGAATAAGACTGAGTGACTCTCTCTCTCTCTCTCTCTCTCTCTCTCTCTGGCGCTCTTGATATTGAAGGTCAAAAATCTAATTTACGAGCCTGAGTGTTACAATCAATTATCAATGCCAGGATCATGAAGTAAAGCATCCTTTTTTTATTATATATATTTGGAGGAGTCTTGAGTTGTTGTTATAGATGTTTGAGTTATGATCTGATCGTACGGTTGATAGATATGAAGATCAAATACTCACCAGAAAATAATTATGAATGAATGTTAGATTGATGGTTTTAACTTTTACGTAATTCTTTAGGTTGACGCTTTCTTTTATAATTGCATGAGTTTCTGAGAAACCTGTGATGGAAAAGAAAAATGGAACTTTAGGGTTGCTAACTATCTTCTTTGTTTTACAAGCAGAAATGGCTCAGCTCCACTGGTCTTATATTACCATTTGACTTCATTTGATTGAGTTATGATTTTTTATTGAAGATACAGGTATTTTCTCAGCAGACAAAGGGAACACCAAATAGCTACGAGTTGATGATCTCCAAACTAATTTGATAAGATAGGATCTGCAAACTCCAACGATGGCTACAAACTATAGATTTGCAATGGACCAAAAGGACATTGTTAGGGTATTAATTACCACAGTGGATGGTTTTATACGGGATCAGCTGATCAACAAAGAGCAGAGAGCCCAACATAGGGAACAATGTGCTGAGAGATTGGCAGCAGAAGATGGAAGCTGTGGCAGAGAAACTGAAGTTCGATACTCTGATCAAGCAGTACTTGCCAATCTGGACTGGGGTATTGAGGCTCTCGAAGAAGCTATCGACACTTCCAATATGGAAACCAAGCTTGCAAGACTGGACCATGCTGAAAAGATGCTGCAAGTTTGTGCCATGTTGAACTCTAACCAGAAAACTGCTGGAGTCCCCAATTTTTATCTATCTGCTTGGGCGCACCTCAACTTGTCATACCTTTCCAAATTACGGAACCATGTCCAAAATTCAGTTCTCCATGTTATTGAGATGTTTATAGTTGACCCTTTCTTCTCGCGGATCGATTTTGCTCCTGAACTCTGGAAACAACTTTTTCTTCCGCACATGAACTCAATTGTAGGGTGGTATTCAGAGCAGAGGCACAGGCTTGTGATGGAAGTAATTCCTGATTCTACTGATCTTTCTTTTACAGCTGATTTGGATCAATTTTTCAGCGAGTCCTTGATCTATTCAATGAGGCCTGATCAAGTGGAGAAACTGCAAAAGCTGGAGCAGCTTTATGGAGAATCATTGGATGAGAATACGCGGCTTTATGCTAAGTACTTTAAGGATTGCATGAACTCTGATTCAACCTCAAGTAAGAAGGTGATTCCAATGTTGCCTATTGCAGAGGCACCTATGACCCCATTGCGTGAGGTCAGCCGTTCAATTCCCGATTTTGTAAAGTTTGGTCCTATCTTGCCCAAGAGTGCTGGTTTTTCTCCCATCCTTAAGTCTAAAGATGGCACAAAAGAATCAAGCAGGTTAGTTCTCATCCTGTGGCCAATTTGGACAGTGTGGTGTATGATATTAACAAAGTTCGTACATATGATAAATAAATAAAAATACCAAAGTTTTAGAATTCCAATTATTGATTTATTTAGAGCTTTAACAAGTTTATACCCTTTGGACGTTTGGTTGAAACAGAATGAGTGTCACCTCTGCCTCCTCGCTAAATTTAGAGTCTGCTAGATGGGATCCTCAGGTAAGGCTGAAAAGTCATTTACAATATTTATAAGAAGATTGAGATTTAAAAAAATATGCTTTCTAAATTCTGTGCTCATTATAGGTTTTGTAAATTTTAGAATAACCAAAGCTATAATCTGGTGCATTGTGCCAGGAAGGCATCCCTGAGGAAGATGGAGATGAATCTGATTATGAGCCAAATGATGCTACTGTGGCTTCAGATCATGAAAAGGAAAGTGGGCAAAAAGTACAGCTATCTGTAACGAAGAGCCGGATACATACTCCAACAATCTTTTCTCCTTTTGATTCCCCTAAAACTTCTCCAAAGATTTTATCTCCAAAACCAGACATGCAGGGTAAAAACGAAGCCACTTCTGTGTTGCGCTTATTGTCCACTCGCATGACAGATTCAGCTATTGCCACTTCTTTGCCTGCATCTCCAGGCATGAGTAATGAGTACAGCATTAGTTCAGCAGACTCCGATTGCGAATTGATAGTATGACACAAACTCTACAGCTACTGAATCATTCACGACTTTATTTGTTCTATTTACTATATGCATAGCTGAAACGCTGGAATTTTGCTGAAAATTGCTTTGTGATTAGGAGGCTGCCACCAAAGGTTGCAGGAAAACCTATAGTCGGACAGGAAGTATGAATTCTGATAATGTGAATAGCCAAAAGTTGAAAAATAGGTGAAATATGTATAATTCATATTTAGATTCATGAAACCATCACCTTTGCATGTTCCTATTATTGTATTTAACTTTCTTCTGATTGTGCAGTCCCCCTAATGAAAATGATGAAGGAAGCCAAAGCTGCGTTTCACTCCCATCTTCTAAGAAGCTGACAACTAAATCAAGACCGCCTAAGGATTTCGTCTGCCCTATCACTGGTCAGATTTTCTGTGACCCAGTTACCCTTGAAACAGGTCAGACATATGAAAGAAAAGCAATCCAAGAATGGCTCAAACGAGGAAATACGACATGCCCCATTACAAGGCAACCCATCGCTGCTACTACTACACTGCCCAAAACGAACTATGTTTTGAAAAGACTAATAACATCTTGGAAAGAACAGCATCCTGATCTTGCTCAAGAGTCTTCATACGCTGAAACACCAAGATACTCATTGAACCACCCCTCCACGAAAGAAAATTCTTTGCCTGCCACTCCACAGAGAACAAATGATTTCCTAGGTCACAGGAACACTGATGATTATATCAACCAAAGGAACAAAAGATTTATGCGAGCAGCCGTTTCTACATCACCAACCAGTGTGATATCTCAAGCTGCAGTTGAGACAATCATCAACGGTTTAAAACCTCATGTTTCAAGTCTCTGTACATCAGAAAACTTACAAGAATGTGAGACAGCTGTGTTAGCAATAGCCAAATTGTGGAAGGACTCAAAGGCTGATCCTGCAGTTCATTCTTACTTATCTGAACTGACAACTGTAAACGGGTTCATCGAAATACTTTCAGCTTCTCTGAACAGGGAAGTCTTGAGAACATCAATTTACATCCTCTCTGAGCTAATATTTTCTGATGAAAGTGTTGGAGAAACACTTACCAGTGTAGATTCTGACCTTGACTGTTTGGCTGTTCTGTTGAAAAATGGGCTAGCTGAGGCTGCTGTGCTTATATACCAGCTGAGGCCAGCATTTGCTCAGCTTTCAGCCCATGATCTTATACCTTCCCTTGTCCAGCTAATCCTGAGCAAAAATGAGGAATTGGATGATCTTCAACTAATAATGGAGCCTAAAGATGCTGCATTAGCAATTATTGAGCAAATATTGATGGGAGGAGATGAAAACAGCAGATCCATTAATGCTTTGAGTGTTATTTCTGCAAATGGTATTCCTGCTCTAGTGAGGTGTTTGGATAGGGCAGAAGGGAGAAGGTCAATTGTTTCGATACTATTATGTTGTATGCAAGCTGAAAAAAGTTGCAGGAGCTTGATAGCAAATAGAATTGAACTGTCTCCTGTTCTTGAATTATTTCATGCTGGAAATGATTGTGTGAGAGGAATATGTGTAGAATTTCTGTCAGAGCTGGTTCAGTTGAACAGGTATATATATACTCATTTACCTGTGTTGCATTATAAGTCTTCACTTCTCTTTTGCTATTCATAGCATCATACTATCTCGCCAGCACTGACAATAAGAGTTGTGAATTCTTCTTATGGGCAGGAGAACATTATGCAATCAGATCTTGCAGATGATTAAAGATGAAGGGGCATTTAGTACAATGCATACCTTTCTTGTGTATCTTCAAATGGCTCCGATGGAGCAGCAACCTGCAATTGCAACTCTTCTTCTTCAGCTTGATCTCCTGGTTTTCCTTTGCTCTTGACATCAATTCCATTTCTTAAATCGTAAATAAATCTTTCTGTTATACGCTAGGCCATTTAAACAAAGATTTAAGATTGTCACATTTGCAGGTTGAGCCATGGAAGATGAGCATTTACAGGGAAGAGTCTATAGAGGCACTAATTGAAGCATTGCGGAGGAAAGAGTTCTCTAATTCTCAAATGATGGCTCTAGATGCCTTGTTATCTCTTACTGGACGTATAACTTCCTCAGGGGAGTCATACACTGGAGCCTGGTTGCTCAAGATTGCAGGATTTGATCAACCTTACAATGCTTTGATGAAGGCAGAGATGGGAACAATGGTGTGCCTTTTGTTGGGTTTTTATTCTTTTCACAGCTTATATACCTCATTAATTTTAAATCCTGATATTTAATACTTGTACACAGGACGAAGAAGAGAAAGCTGTAACCTCTTGGCAGAAAAGGGTTGCTTTTGTACTTTGCAACCATGAAAGGGGCTCTATTTTTAAAGCTTTGGAAGAATGCCTCAAGAGTAATTCCTTAGAGATGGCAAAGTCATGTCTTGTCATTGCCACATGGCTCACAAACATGCTTTCTATACTTCCTGATACTGGTGTGAAAAGAGAAGCTCGCAAGGCCTTGCTTGACGAGTTCATAAATGTTCTCCAATCGTCAAATAACCTGGAGGAGAAGATTTTGGCAACTCTTGCTTTGAAATCTTTTGTCAATGATCCAGGTAATCTCGGTCTAGGAAAGCTTTTGTTATTGTACACAAACATTTCCAACTTGTCTACATAAGTAAAAGAAGTTAACATCTCTAACTTCCAAATTGTAGCTGCGCTTGAAGCACTAGGGGTGTATGCTAAATGCATCTATAAAACTTTGAGAAAACTCAAGAAAAATTCGGCGGTAGCGAACGACATAATGAAAGCATTGATGAACTTGTCATCTATTGACATAGTAAGTGGTGTGGGGGAGCAAGATTTTTAATTTGGAGTAATTTAAGTATACAGATTACTGACTACTCCAAACATTCTGCAATATAGACAGAGCTGTGGAGTTGTGCTGAAGCGGTTGAATTAGATTCATCTACAAATGGAGAGGTTCTGTCTTTGCTTCATGTGAAAGGTCGGGTTTTAAGCAGCCATTCCGATGGAACTATAAAGGTAAAGACCAAACCAGAACTACTCCTGTTTCATTCTCTCACACTTGCATGCAAAAGTTATACATGGAGGATTTGTGTACAGAATACCTCGTTAACAGAAGCTGAGACTAATATTGTCAACCTTTTAGGTATGGGATGCTGGAAAGAAGGTACTGAGATTGATTCAAGAAGTTCGTGAGCACACAAAGGCAGTCACATGCCTCTATATTTCATCTTCAGGTGACAAACTATACAGCGGTTCGTTAGACAAAACAATTCGGGTAAGACATTATCCTACTACATGGCCTTGAGACAAAGATTCTTCTAAACATAAGTTGTTTTCATTGATTCTTCTATTAACATTTTCTCGTCTACAGGTCTGGGCAATTAAAGCCGAAGAAATTCATTGTCTACAAGTGCATGATGTGAAGGAGGCAGTATACGAATTGGTAGCAAATGCTAAAGTGGCGTGCTTCATTTCTCAAGGCACTGGAGTTAAGGTAAGTGCTCTCTGTCCATGAACAACTGTGAGTAACACAGGCCAAAAAGAGAAAAAGATTGCATCTTAGGCCTTACCCATAAGCATTGTTGTCGCAGGTGTATGAGTGGTCTGGTGTTCAAAAGCATATAAACTTCAACAAATACGTAAAGAGCCTTGCCATGACAGGGCCTAACCTGTATTGTGGTTGCTCTGGTTACAGCATCCAGGTAAATCACAAAACCTACAATTGGCTACAATTGACTTGAGATTTTAATGTTATAAAAAAAATATAAATGGCAGGAGGTTAATTTGGGCAAATACACATCAAGCGCATTCTACTCAGGCACAAGAAAGCTGTTGGGGAAACAAGTCGTCTATTCCCTTCACATTCGGGATGGCATTCTATACGCAGGCGGTTCATCGGTGGATGCATCAGCTGGGAAGATATTCTCCCTTCCAAACAAGGCAGTAGTAGGAACATTCGTAACGGGGCTTGACATCCAACGAATAGCCATCAACAATGACTTAATATTCACAGCCACCAAGTGCGGAGTGATTGAGGTTTGGTTGAAAGAAAGGTTCACTCGAATTGCTTCCATCAAAATGGCTTGTGGGGGACATGCCAAGATTACATCTTTGGCAGCAGACATGGATGGAGGGATGCTGTTTGCAGGTTCCTCTGATGGCAGAATCCAGGTTAGAGACAGATACAAATAACCAGTTACATAAGTTTTTAGCATTTTGAATTTATATTTCATCTTATGCTTATGCTTATGCTTTGTTTGTTTGTTTTGATTGCAGGTTTGGTCCCTAGACTGAGCATATGTAAACTGTACTGTGACAATTTTGAAATATATCTTCAATTACAAGCCACAATCATATGTTCCTTGCTGAAGAATCATTTGCTCAAGAGGGTCTTCAATTTCCAGCAACTGTCAATCCTTGTAAAGTCAATTACCAATTAGTATACTCACATATTCAAATTTCGTTTTTGTCAAACATATTCAGCACATCCACTTTGCCCTCTTCTCCTTTTTGGCTTCACGATATTTGAAATGAATAATTTTCGTTTGAAGTTTGGGGCAAATGTGTTAACATGCTTTCAGATTAATCGAGACACTGGTCAGTCAGATTAATGTTTATCCGTAACAAAAATAAGGTATTTCTTAGTAAGAAGAAGGTATCTTCAATCAATATTCTCTTACAAAAAATCAAAATACTTTTTTTGGTCATGGATGGGAGGCACTCAGAATGAAAAGGACTAAAGTTATAAGATCATTGATATTTGAATCTCATAAATACCACTACAAAATTGTATCCTCATTGTGCCCCTTCACGACAGTAGAAACCCAACTCTCAATACTCAAAATTATTTGTAAATAAATATTTTAAAAAAACATGTTTTAAGGGAAAGCATTCAGAATGAGTAGGAGGTTTGTAATTCCAATCACGAAATTAATCGGACAAATACAGGATTATCCTCATCATGCCCCTATCCCAACTCAATAAATCAATACATAAAATTTAAAATAAAAAAAAACGAATTCAAAAACGAAAAAGAAATGAGAAGATGAAGAATACGAAAACATCAGAAACATTGGATCGTTTCAACGTCGACACTGAGTCTCAGACGACCGTCGTGAGATGTATATCCAAATTCATCATCTGATTTCGCAACAATTTCAAAAAACTGGCAAAACAAATACAGAAAGAGTGTGAGCGACAAAGCGGGAGGGAGGCCATGGAGAGTTAGATGGATGCAGATAGCGAGGCCAAGCCGATACGATTTAAAGAAGATGGACAGACTCTTTATTAGGGTTTTGAAACTTGCGTATTGCCGATTCTACCCTTTTGATTTGGATCTGGATTTGACGAAATTTTGGGCCAAGCCCAGTTAAGAACTACCCAACCAATGGGGCCTTTAAAGTAAATAGTCTAACAACTTCTTGGGCCTGAGGGGTGGGCTGATGTTAACGGTTTAACGCTGCCGTAACTTCCAGTTTTCCTTCTTTCTGATTCAGTTCAGCTGACACCAGATCAAAGCTTTCACAGAGACATACACACAGTCTCGCTCTGCAACTACCATGTCTCCGGAGACTGCTCCTCCTCTCATTGCCGCCCAGCTCAACTACCTCCTTAGTCACTTCCCTCTCGTCGTTAAGGTGATGCCCTTCGAAACCCTATCTCTCTGTCTCTTTGCTTCATTTGCAATCATGAAAAATCGATTTGCGAGAAACTTAATAGGCGAAAATATCATTTCATTCATTCCGATGAAAATATTTCACTGAAGCATCCTCTTGGACTTCAAAGAACTTGTTCTGGGTTCGTGCATCATTTGCCCAACTGTTATCTCAGCTCCCGTACAATCTAGGGTTTTGTTTCGAGAGTTGAAGAAGAAAAAGATTATTTGGACATTTTCATGATCAATTTTGCTTTACAGATTGAGAATAAGTGGTCTGGCAGCAAATACTGCCCCGGAATTCTTGACCGCTTCACCTTAGTCATTTCCTACTGTCTAGACGTTATCAAATGTGAGTGAATCTTTATATATATAGTCTCACTTGTAGTTCCCGGTTGATTTATGTTTATTCATTTTCTAAGCATATGAGGCTTCGATTTGTTGTAGGGGATATTATATTTGATGCAGAGTCTCCAATGGCTGCACCGGATGTTATATTTGGACCTGATGATGAAAATTTTCAGCAGTTTCTTGTATTGCGTGGTGAAGAAGAAGGGGACACAAAGTCTCCTAAGAACTTTTTGAATGATTGGAACAGCAGAGACCCTACACAGCTAATGCTTCTCATTCAAGAACTGAGGTATATGATTTCTCTATAACACAGCGCTTTAAACATTTAGATTTCATTTGGGATCACCGTAGCTAACTGGTCTCAGTGAAATACTGTTGCTCCATCTTAAAGGGATCAATACATGTCCTTCCAGAAGAAGCGCGTTGCAGAGGTTGATGATGACAGGTTGAAGTTTGAAATTAGCACAATTGTTGCTCGTGAGGTATTGTTTCAACTTAGTAACATATGTATTATTAGACATCTGTTTGCTTGTAAGGGATGAACTAGGAGGGCTAAGTTCGTGAGTATCTAGTTTGATGGTCAACATTTGAAGATATTTCATGCTTGTGTGTATATCCTGGCAAATGGAACATGAATTTCATCATAACAACCTATCTGTTCTTGTAACATTTTCACTGCCAAATTTGGCAGATAGACATTGTCTTAACTCCTTACACTTTGCTTCAGGGCATTGAGATGCACATGAGTTCCGGAGTTGACAAGGTATTTCTAATTGATAAGAAAAAAACATGTTCAGTGGTGAGTAGAACTTGCCTGTGTAGCTTCTGATTATATATGTGGTCCTTATGCCTCTGAATTTTAGCGTAGCCAGAGGAGGTCAAATTTTCAGTGCCTCTATTGGATATGAACATAAATAAGATGGTGCCTGGGTGTCCCTGGAAACATAAACAAAAGATATACTTGCAGGTTGAGAATCTCTTTCTCTTTCTGCCCCTCAATCTTCAAGTTAGCTTTTCCCCAGTGTTTACATTTTGTCCAGCACATGTATACAATAATGTGGACTGTGGGTGGTGTAGGTTATATATCCTGTTGAGAAAAAATATGTTTCCACTCCATCAGCTCCTCGCTTGAAACTAGTATCTACAACAGAGTTGAAGAGTATATTTTCCATTGATGATGTGAAACTTCCTACATGGTTGAATGGGATGTAAGTGAATTATATATTCAGTCTTCTAAATTATAAGTTCCTGGTCCTTTATACTTGACTAGTATTGGTCCATTATGGTTATCGTTTTTTTGTTTCTTACTTACAAAAGGTGCATGGCTGAATATCTTCCCCATCTTGAGGAATCTCTTGAGAACCAGGTCAGCTGCATTTGAGTCTATATTTTCCACTTTTTAAGTACAAAATGTTTCATATTTGTAAGTATATTTTGTCTTGTTAATAAGGTTTTGGAGGCAGTTTTCTTAATTGATGTTAGAAGGCGCTTTATTGAGGCATTAGCCCTTCAGTTTGGAAGACCGTTGGAAGCTGATCCGGTAGGCATCCTAGGCAATCTAGTTCTCTCTGCAAAGTGATTGAAGCTTTAAGACTAATTGGTCATCTCTAATTGGGCAGGTATTTTGCAGAAAGGCTACATTTCTTGCTGCTTCTGGAGTTTTCACGTTCCTGGTATATATGATCATCACTGCATCATATTGTTTGGAATATTGCTTTAAGCCAAACATGTGATGGTCCATTGATTAATGGACTTACTTGATCTCTACTATTTTGTTTCTACCTTTCTCATAAGCATTTCGACTACTTCTAGCAGCAAGTCATTTGGATCTATGCCGTTTATTGTTGATAGCAACCTTGCTATTCACAATCTATTTTGTTGTTGTGCATTATCTGGTGGTACTTTTTGTTGTATGGTGCAAATGGTTTTGGTCTACAATTGGTGTCTTCTTTTCTTCATTTAATACTGCATCCTTCGCACTTAAGTTATCTTCCCATTTTTAGTGACTAAGCTTCTGATAGGTTTGTTTGTATAGGTTCATGTTTTGATTTCAACTCAGTTTCCAAAGCAACAGCCAGAGTTGATGCTTCAAAGTTCGCAGGCAAGGATATTTCTCTCCAAATCAATGACTTAATGAGTATAACAATGTCAAACCTTAAGTATCAAAAAGAAACAATGTTAAACCTTATACAAATAGCTAGTCAAGTATATACGCTACTGCACTTGTGTAGTTTGTTTAATTATTGTTCTTGGTATATATGTTTTTTAGTCATAACACTTTATTTGATGGGGTTATATTTTTGTAATGATGTAGCATTTCAACTCCCAAGGTGCGCCAATCAAGTCACTGTTTCTAACTGAATACCCCTGGAGCCCAAGATGGGAAATACCATTAATGGCTGAGCGAATTTGGTGAGTTCCTTTGTAAATTATTACGTCTTTTGCATCAGTTTTCACGTATGAACATATTGCTGATGGGAATTACTTTGCAGTGACTATTTGACGGATGAGGCTTTGAACTTCAAGAGGTACTGCCACGAACCTCAACTGCAACACTAGCATGTCGTAGAATGCCGCCGTTAATGTTCGGTATCCTTGCCGATACAAATTAAGTTGTGTAAAGTTGGTGCATTGGAACTCTTTTGATTCTTGGATATGAGCGTGGATAAAAAAGATTGTCACTTTTGTTAATAACTGAGAAATGAAACGATGATAGTTCTAAATTAATGCTTTGCAGTCACAGATTATGGTCTTGAACTTAGATCAAGATCTAATAGATGACACTAATTCAAAAGGCTAAAATATTTTATCAGGATTTGAATCGGGTTGAATTTCGACTATTGGATTTTGATCCGATCCGAACACATGGGTTTTTCAGAGTCGCAATTATTATATTTTTATAAAAAATATTATTAGTCTTGTCAGATTGTCGATGCTTATGCTGGAATATCTTTTCTTTTTCGGTGGAATATGGAAATATATCTTGCAAGAGATTACATATGGGAGGCCAATAATTGAACCGTTTGAGCAGTTTTTGTTATAACAAAAGGAAATTTTTATAATAAAATCCAGCAGTAATTTAAAATGCGATCAAATCAAGTAGGAATTTATCAACTAGCTCTTATTTATCCAAATAATTCTATATTGCGTTTGGTTATTGGGAAATTGGCAGCACAGGAAAGAAATATTTTTTGGTTTTTTATTTGCCAAACGGAAAGAAAGAATTTCGAGCCATTGTTAAAAGTAAAAGAGAAGATAATTGATCTTTTTTCTGTATTACTACATCAGGGATTATAAGTCTTAAAACGGTAAAAAGAGGAATGCACAACAAATACCAGATTTGCTGCGTTGTCTCTTAACAGCCAAACGAGGTCGTAGACAGTAAAAATGAAATCAGCGGATTAATCGTGTTATTAGCGGTAAACAGTTAGACCGTCCCGCGGGAAACATCTGGCGGAGGTGGGGATCAGCGTATTAACGTGCGCACACCATGCCAGACAGAGCAGAGAGAAAGAGAAGGAGAGAGAAGTTCGTTGGTTTGTCCGTACTCTCTTTGTGTGGCTGTCACACACACGGCAGCAACAGATTAATTCACTAAAAAAATATCACACCCACTATTATTACCTTCCTAACCTCCGAATCTCCCTCTATCGCTCTCTCTCCCCCTCCTTCCCCTTCATAATAGGGATTTCAGATAGACTTTCTCCTGTCTCTCCTCTCTCTCATTGATTGGTTTGGGCCATTTCACCAAACGCCCTAACCGGAGATCTCTCTTCGTTTTTGGCCCACTGTAACATCTCGCGACAATGAGAGAGATCTTGCATATCCAAGGAGGCCAATGCGGTAACCAAATCGGCTCCAAGTTCTGGGAAGTCATCTGCGACGAGCACGGCGTTGACCCCACCGGAAGGTACCGTGGAGACGCCAACTCCGATCTTCAACTCGAGAGGATCAATGTCTATTACAATGAGGCTTCCGGCGGCCGGTACGTCCCTCGCGCCGTCCTCATGGATCTTGAACCCGGTACCATGGACAGCATCCGATCCGGTCCGTTCGGCCAGATCTTCCGCCCTGACAACTTCGTCTTCGGCCAGTCCGGTGCCGGCAACAACTGGGCCAAAGGTCATTACACCGAAGGTGCCGAGTTGATCGATTCCGTTCTCGATGTTGTTCGCAAGGAGGCCGAGAATTGTGACTGCCTTCAAGGTACTTTTTGTTTCAACTTCGATTTGAAATTGCTCCTGAATCAGATTTTATTTTGCTTTCTGCGAGATTATGTATTGATGCTTGAATATTCAGTGCATTATCATTTTCTTGAGCTATATGAATTAGTCGTTCAAGATTTAACAATAATCTAATTGCAAAGCTAGGATCGTCAGATCCGTCATCTAAAACTCTAAATCTAATTCCAAAGTTAGAAAGTTGCTGAGTGTTTCGTTCCAATTTCAATCGTTTAACCCTGCAGTCAATGCCTTGTGTGATTTCAGTAGTTCTGGAATTTGTTGTACTACATCTCCATTTTTCTTTTTTTTTCTTTTTTTTCTTTTTTGTTTTGTTTTTACACTCCTTGTCCTTTGGCAGAGGATCTAAAGATAAAATTATTCTAATCTTGTCCGTTACTTTTTGTATGATTGTGGATATGAGATTGAAGGTGAGGTTTCACAGCATTGCCATGTGGTGAATTGTACTGCATCTCCCTCGTATTATATTCTCTGGTTGATTTTATAAATATGTCTTTATAATAAGGCTGAGTTGCTTGTGGCCCCTTTTTGGGTCTCCAGGGGAGACAGATAGAGAAAGCAATCTTATTAATCTGTCTTTTTGCGACTTACATGTAAATTAGCAAATCTATTACTTTTCTTTGCATTATGATTGCCATTTCCCAACAGTCACAATTACCAAACCGACATTGTACTGGTTGTTTTACCAATTATAATGTAGCAGTAAATCTTATATGGCACTGAGAGTTTTTTTAAACCCTTTCTTTTTAGGTTTAGCTTTCTGGCATTTTCAATGGATTCTCTGTAAGCAGAGAAGTTAAATCTTGTTTTTAAGGTGTTTTGTGATGTAAAGGTCGTTGTACTCTTAGCTGAGCTAAGGGCTTGTAACAGCTTTTATTGTGTGAGTGTGAGTGAAGATTAGCTTATAGTTTGGATCCCAGTACAAGTAGTGCCCTCCTTGTTCCCATATACACTTCAAATCTCACTTGCCAATTGTCATTTATATTCAAAATATGCTGATTGAAATCATCTCTTTTATATGGGCCAGGTTTTCAGGTTTGCCACTCACTTGGAGGAGGCACTGGGTCGGGCATGGGAACCCTTCTGATATCAAAGATTAGAGAGGAATACCCAGACAGGATGATGCTGACATTCTCTGTTTTCCCTTCACCAAAGGTCTCAGACACCGTCGTGGAACCATATAATGCCACTCTTTCAGTGCACCAGTTGGTTGAGAATGCTGATGAATGCATGGTTCTTGATAATGAAGCACTTTATGACATTTGCTTCAGGACCCTAAAGCTCAGCACCCCAAGCTGTGAGTCACAAACTACTTCTTTTGCTAATTATATAGTAACACAAAGTATTCTTATAGCAGGGGTTCTAATTTACTTGATTGTATCTCTGGTTTGCAGTTGGTGACCTGAACCATTTGATATCTGCAACCATGAGTGGGGTGACATGCTGCCTAAGGTTCCCTGGGCAGCTGAACTCCGACCTCCGGAAGCTGGCTGTGAATCTGATTCCATTCCCACGTCTTCACTTCTTCATGGTGGGGTTTGCCCCTCTAACCTCTCGTGGGTCCCAACAGTACATCTCCCTCACTGTGCCAGAGCTAACTCAGCAAATGTGGGATGCCAAGAACATGATGTGTGCTGCTGACCCTCGTCACGGACGTTACCTGACAGCCTCAGCAATGTTCAGGGGAAAGATGAGCACCAAGGAGGTGGATGAACAGATGATCAATGTGCAGAACAAGAATTCGTCCTACTTTGTTGAGTGGATTCCTCACAATGTGAAGTCAAGCGTATGTGATATTCCTCCCAGGGGTTTGAAAATGGCGTCGACTTTTGTGGGCAACTCTACATCGATCCAGGAGATGTTCAGGAGAGTGAGCGAGCAGTTCACAGCCATGTTCCGGCGCAAGGCCTTTTTGCATTGGTACACTGGGGAAGGGATGGACGAGATGGAGTTCACAGAAGCTGAGAGTAACATGAATGATTTGGTTGCCGAGTACCAGCAATACCAAGATGCTACTGTCGAGGATGATGGTGAGTACGAGGAGGAGGACGGTGCTGAAGAGAACTATGAGGACTAAAACCTCTTTGGCAACAAATTACATATGGAGAACCGGAAAAGAGGTTTGACATGAAGGGTACCTTCCTTCATGCTTGTGTACTAGATTGTTATATGTGTTTCAACGTTTTGCTTTATCATTTGTTTCTCTTGCTTCCTTCTGGGTTCCGGTCTCAGCTAATCAAGCTTATCACCTTGCGCGATTGGTCAATATTTGTAGTATATCATCTTATAAGACGATATTGTGTGGTTGTTCTTTTTCAAGTATGCAATAAAACTTTCATTTTTGCAACAGCTGGGAATCCTAGTTTACCAAAGCATCTATTTGGATTGAATTTCATATAATTTTACACCGATGGGTTTATCTAATCAACTTCTTTGACGGGTTTTACCGTGAACTTAGGAAGAATGATTATCACAAGTGATAAAAACACAATCCAAATAATTAGAGTTGGGTGCAATGTTAAACTGTACTGCTGTCAATGTCATACGCACAAGGGAAACCTCTCATTCTGCCGAGGCTGTGAGACATCAATGCAAATTGGGGTGGGCTGCCCGACCCATTGAGAAATTGGACTATAGCCCCTATTACGATTTTTTCATTCCGAGTCATCTAGGCCCGGTTCGCGAACCCACCAACCACAAAAAAATTATAAAGACATTTTTGATAAAAAATAAACCATGTAAATAATCCAAATAATATCAAATCACAAAGAACACTGGAAAAGCGAAAAACAAAAAAGACAGATTATTTTTAAAAAGGGAATTTCAGATTATCGCAAACGACCCACAAGAATTGATATATAAATCTCAGCACCCGTCGATCAGATTTATGAAAATTATAAAACAAAAAAAGAAAAAAAGAAAAGAAGAAGAGGATAGGAAGGAAGGAAGGAAAGGCATATTAATATTATGATGCATCAGAGTCATGGAAGTATGAGGTGCAACATCGCTCGCACCAATAAATTGCAAGCTTCTCAAACCAAAGGTAATTCTCGTCATTTGCACCACTATTATTCAATTATCCCAACCCAATACCAATATTATAGAAGAAATCAAGAAAGATTAGAATAGTATTTGACTCTGAAAGGAAAGGACGCAGGATTTCTTAGAAGGAGGAGGCAGGCAAGCAGCTGAGAAGTTCTCATCTCAAGTTCAACTATATATAAGAAGAGCAAGAGAAGTAGGGTTCGTTTGTATGTTTGGGTAGAAAGGGGTAGAACTGGCATTTCGTCATCTTATGGCAAGTTACAACACGAACCAATCACTACTTCATCAGTGAGTTTGTGCGTATCGAGGACTCCTCATTCCTTAAGGGCAAAACTGTAAAAGTATCGATCATCTCAGATTTGGCCCATTTTGTATGTTAAGTATCCGGGCCGGACTAGGCCCACTGCTCCATTCCGTTCCTACGTCGTTCACTTCTATTTGAAAAAACGTGAGTGCCTCAACATGTTTAACACAGTGAGCTCACAAATTCACATGAGTGTGACATTCTTAATTTTCACGAAAGAATAATTAACTTGTTCTGATTTTGCATACAGATTTTGCCTAAATTAAACATTACATCAATCGATCAATGTAATCTCTCAAAGCAAAATCTCATTATAATAAGCTTCCCCAGTTTATATATAACAGAATTAGATATACATAGAATATACATATGCAAAAACCGTGCAAAAAAAAAGCTACTAGTCGTCTTTCCCAAAACCTGAAACCTTTGTTTGAATCAAAAAATACACCCCAAGTAATAACATTACATACATTATTATTGGGGGCAAAAAATGAAGAATAACATGTTACATTTCAGTTCATCTTAAAGTGGTAGCGAAGCGAGGCCTCTTAAGCCTGCAGTACTCAAGTCTCTTCTGTCTGTTCTGAGCTGCCACAAACCTAGTGTTGTTAACCAAGGTAACATCGTACGGTTGGGAAGAGCTCATCACGATTGTATCCTTAAAGCAAAGGTTGAGACCACGTGGGCCCACCACATTGTTGTTGCAATTGACCATCCTCATCAATCCACTCGCACTGCCGCCGCTGGATGCCAACGAGATTGAGGAGGGCACTTGAGTAGAAGAATTAGATGGGTACCCGTACCTCAGATTCTCACAGATTTCTCTTCTTTGAGTTTGAGCCGTCTGATCCATGATGAGCTGCAGTTGATGTTGATAATGCATCACGCTAGGAGGAGGATGAATTTGCTCATGATGTTGTTGATGATACTGCTCTTGATTTGCAGCAACAGGGGGAGATAAGACTGGGGGTTGTTGGGCTGGTTGCCATAATGGCACCACTGCATTATTCAAGCTCGGCTCAATTTCCAAACGGGACTCTTCCTCCTGTTTATGGCCAAGTCCCATTAGCTGAAAAAAGAATAAGAGGGGGTAAGCAAATTAAAGGAAATAAATATTATTAAAGACAAAGTAAACAAAATCATCAGCGAGACATTAGCAGAAAAAACAATACCTTCTCTTTCCTTGCTTTCAACTCCAAATTAAAATCATTCAGGTCGACATAATGACGCTCCACCTTCTGTAATTCCTTTCCAGTATATCAAAAAGCCAAAGAGCCATGTCAGTTTCGGCATTGGTGAAGAAATTACATAAATATTACAAATATATATATAATAAAAGGATAATTAGCACAGTAAAATTTGAGGAAAAAGACAAATAAATGCTAGAAAGAACCAAAAAGGACTCACCAATTGTAGCGATTCTTTCTCCTCAGTCAGGTCGTCAATAATCTTACTCCATTCCTCTCTCTTCTGCACAATGAAGAACACCCAAAATAATGGAATATCAGAAAACAGTCACCGTAATCGGGAAAAAATAAAATAAAAAAAAGCGACAGAACCCAGTTGTCAGAATTGCTAGGAAAGCAAAACCCATATCATAAAAAATATAACAAAATAAAAAGAAGAAGATAAAGGATGTAAAAGGGAAAGACTCGAAACAGAGAATAAAAGACTTACCCTTTTACCGAGGACTCTTCTTCTCAATTGCTGAGGCTTGTTGTCGGATTCACTGGGCTCGAAGGAGAGCGGCGTATCAGGGCTCGAACTTTCAACCTTGATAGCATTAGAGAGAAGTGGTACAGGACTCTTGGCCAAAGACCTGGGAGTAAAACGACACCGTAGAAGTAGTTTACACCAACATGGTGGCAGACCAAGATGACGCAGGCGCTGCAGAGTTGAGGCGTGGTCGTTTTTCACAGCAAGTGCAGATCTCTGTCTTTTACATCCCCAGCCGAGCGAGAGTGGAATTGGAAGAGGAGACTCAAATTGGTAGATCATATCAGGAAGCTGAAGCAAGATATCAGCGACCTCTATCTCACTCACACTGGTGTTTGGAGAACAAGGGAAGAGTTCCCTCTGTTCCATAACCATTGTTTCGCTCTGTTCCATTGTGATTTCTCTCTCTTTCACTTTGTTTCTTCAATTGAAGGTTTAGAAATATTCTTGGGCAGGCTTTGTAGCCAACAGCACATATAAATATACGCAGACCAATTACCACAAAAGAGCACAGACAACAGCGGCGTTGAGAGAGAAAAGAGAGGATTTGATGAGACTTGAGAGAGAGAGAGAGAGAGAGCAGAGCGAGTTGCTTGGAGACGAGGTTCTTTTCTTTTGTGTTTATAAAGAAAAACAAGAGAAAAAAATCCTTTAGGAGGTAGTAGAGTGTGACACGTGTCGAGTATATGGAGATTGAGGTTAAGCCTAGGGTTTACGGCCTTGTATGATTTGATGTAGAGAATGTGTGAAGCAGCACTTGAAGTCGTGAGAGAATGGCAAAATATTATTACTTTCCACAAAGCTTTTGGAGAAACACGGTGACAAAGGAATTGAGGGGATTAGGAATTAATTTTGCTTAACCTTTTAGGGTTTTTCCTAGTTGGAGTTGGTTTAACGACTGGGTGTGGGTGGTAGTAACCAAGACAACTCCTAGTCCTCCTACCAGGACAATTTTAATTTTTATTCACCTTTTCCTCTAGTATTTTGTCCCATAAACACACAAAATTGTTAGTTAACTTCTTTTAATTGAAGCTATGTCCCTAGATTGTATTTTATTTTATGCACTTCACATAAATTTTCCTCTAGTATTTTAATTTTTTTTTTTTTGCCAAACCAGCCTGACCCTAGGTTTTATGGACCTAATCGAATCTCGACCTTAGACCACTTGGGACCTGTGGAAATTTTATTTTCCGATGATACCCAATGGACTGAAACCGTAAGCCCATGAACTTCTCAACCAAACAAAAGCAATGGGTCGTTGTTTGGCTAATATCCCTGATGGCATTCGTTGGCGTCTTCCACAGAATTGGTGCGCTGTTTGATCAATATATGCTGGGATATTCAAGATCATATTATTCTGTAGCTGTGGGACATTGTCTCATCTCATGGATTCCGTTACTTCCGGCCCAAGCAAAAACAACACACCCAAAGTGAATATAAGAGCATTAATGATAATTATACGATATTAAATGAGAACGATAGATAAATTATGAACAATTTCATATACTTCCAAATTTGACTCCTCAATGCCTCTTTTTTTTTTCTTTTCAGGTCAGCGGCAGTTAACATTCATATAGTAAATAAATAAATAAACAAAGAAGCAATTTTGGTTAAGAATATAATCATATCTCTGGTAAAGATCCAAATAAAAGAACGATTAGACATGATCCCTTCATTGCCACAGGCGAGTTGGTTGGGCCAACATTCAGTCCAGTTAAAAGTTGCCATCAATTGACCAGTATTGGTCACCATGAATGAGCTAAATCACATAATCAGAATGCCACCAAATAATAGCAGAAGAAAGGTGAAGTGCTGTGATTTGTTAACCAGAAATACAACTAAGCTGCTTGCCTTTTCTTCTTTAGCCTAGTGGACAACGCAAAGTCATCATCAGAGTCACTCTCTGAGCTTCTATCTTCATTCTTCCGCTTCTTAGACAGCGTAGATGCATCTTTAGAGACCGTTGACTTCTTTTGATTTGAAGGCACTGGGGTTGATGGTTTCTTGACAATAACTGACTGTGTGCTCTTCTTTACAGAAGCTACAGCTTTCATTGGAGAACCGAGTTTTTGCTGCTGACTCCTCTTCTGCTTCTTCTCAAACACTCTCTTTGCCTCCTCTTTAGATAGCAAACCACACTCCATCAGCCTGAATTCAAATTGAAAATTTGAAATGCATGTTTATACAGAAGCAATCAAGCACTAATTATAATTGGTCAGTTCATGCCTGCTAGAGTTGTAGAATGGGCAATACTTAAAAAGCACGATACTCCCACCATTGCATGATATGGGAGGATACACACTCTTACCCACATTGTGGAGAGGAGCCTCTTCCCATTTAGAATCCGCAACCTTTGCAACGTTGCAAAGATCAAACCTTACCAATTGCAGTCAAGGCTCGCCCTCTTTACTTCTTTTTATTAAAATCCACTAATGGAAAACATGCATTTACAAAACAAGCAAACTGGGATGAAAAACATAAAAAATTTATGTGTATTTACAAGTATAAAACCAAAACACTATCCAAGGCATGGCCTCTAAGAGACAACTAACCAAAAAGTAGACTTCAAACTGTCAATAGCAAGCTACAACAAACCTAAGTGCCCTACTCAAGCATGCACCAAAATAAACATGTCCATACTAAACAACAAGGCACAAGGTTGAATGGCAGGTACATTTAGACTTTTCTATTATTTTTATTCATGAACATCCCATAGAAGACAACAATATGTATCATTTGCTTCGAATTTCAACTCCCATATCATAATTATACATGCAGCTTTATAGACTGAAAGAGTTGCCAACCAAGGAGGCCAGTTGAATGATCAGACAGACATACGCAGGTGCTTCAAAGCCAGCGCTTTGATGCACACTGCGGAGGCCAGGCAAGCGGCATAGTGGCGATTATATAACTAGCTATCAGAAAATATTAGTTGGCATAATAAAACACAGTTCCAAACAAATTATATAGCCTGGAAGCAAGCCGAAGCATAAGGCAGCTCAAACAGCACTTCTCCTAATATTTAAGGCAACGGTTCCTGTACAGGAAGTATGAGGTAAAGGAATGCAAAACCATTTCAACTTCCACTTCTCCTAATATTTCACAAGAACCTAACAGAATGTAACATCTACACAGTAATTCAGCAAGCAAAAACAGTGTTGCAATCAAACAAATGGGAGAGCAAACACTCACCAGAACTGTGCCATTTCGCTTTTGGGAACTTGCTCATAAAGCGTCTCATAAAAAATCCTAAGTGGGTCTCTCTGAATTCCAAAATACAACACAAGAATCACCTAAGAATCCCGAAGCAACAAAAAGGGAGAAAAGAAACTACATTAACAAGAAAGAGAAAGGAGAAAACTGGGACAGTGTACCTCATCGGGAGGGTCTCGCTTCTGACCAGGCAAATCATAAACCTTCTTCTCCTTCTTCTCCCTCTTCTTCGGCTCTGTTGTAGCATCTGGCCCCTTCTTCTCCTTCTTCTTCTGCTCTTGTGTAACCTCTGAACCCTTCTTCTTCTTCTTCTTCTTCTCTTCCTCCTCCTCCATTTTCTTTATTGTCCTCTTCTTCAATTCCTTCATCCCCATCCCATTACACAAAGAAAATCACAAGAACCCAAATACCCGCCTTCATCAGTAAAATTCAGAGTCACCGCATTAAAAAAAAACGAAATTTATAAAAAGATAAATAAAGTGACAGAAACCTTATCGAGCATAGCATTGGAACTCCTTTTAGCATTGGAACCCGGTTCATCCTCACTGTCGTTGTTCTTCTTTTCCTTCTTAACTCTGGGTTCTTGTTTGGGCTTAGCCTTAGTGGGTTTATCAGAATCATTATCGAGCTGCTCTTCTTTCTTCACCTTGGCTTCTCTTGATGCAGATGTGGAATTCCCATTCGCATTGTTCATAATTTTTGTGGATTTCTTCTTGTGGTTGAGCATTATTGTACCCAAGCTCATCTTATCGTCCTCCTCTTCCCCTTTAACTTCCCTCTGCACCTTCACGGGCTTCGCATCCTCCTCCGAAGGCATGTTTCAGCTTTCCCAATGTATGAGAAATTGGCACCCAAAAACACAAAAGAAAATCGGAGTGAGGGGAGGACGATTTTCGAACTTCGAAAAGGGAAAAGCCCTCCGTTTTCACGGACTTTTCGAGTTTTGAACGTTTCGGGAAACGTTTGAAACCCTAGTGCAAAAAGGAAACATCGGACCGGATACGGAAATCCATGAGAGTGGGGCGTACTCTTGATGATTAAGGCTTGAATGTCTAATCGGCTAAACGAAGCCCAACTCAAGTTAGCCCACACTTAAATCTTGTATATTGTAGGCCTGATCTCAGCACATCTATTACAAGAAGCAAATGTGGGTAGGCCAATTAATCAAGATAGAGTACCTGCCTCATTGTATCTTAGAAGCAAATGTGGGTAGGCCAATTAATCAAGATAGAGTACCTGCCTCATTGTATCTGAGTTCGAACCTTATTTCGATACATTAGAATATCGCAATTGCAACGGAGAAAAAAGGATTCTATAATAAGAAGAGAACGATCTGTATAACACTCAAATAAATAAATATGGGTTGAATAATTAATAAATAAGTACATGTGTTATTATACTATCAATGAATAAGTAGCGTTAATGATCGTCATTTCTGATGAATTTTCCGTTATTATGTGTACAAGTTAGTATAGTATATGATATATATATGTATAACTCACAGCAGAAGTAGATATCCAAACCTTCCAAACCTTCCCTGATGATGAAGATTTGCAATCAACGAAGAAGGCATATATTCTTTCCCTGTGTATGCGTGCTTTTTTATATACAAAAATAATGATATGAAAAAAGTTTAACATTTTGGTATCAATCCAGACTCGGTGGGCAATTGATATGTATCGAAAAAGAATGAAAAGAAAAGGTCGGTTACTCGGTGGGAGATAGAATCTAGAGCCAAGAATTTATGCCAAAGCTAACATAAATCAATCAAATGAAATGAGACCAGACCTTAGACCTACCATATATCCTCAAAATACCTTGAGAAAAAGTTGAGCTCTATTTCCCATAATACCTGCGTATCGTCTTAGTGTCTCTCCCTCACCCTCACCAATCGGTGCCCCTTCTATATATATACACACACGCATATTATTATCAAATCACTCGCAGAAGAAAACACAGAGACACAGAGACACATGGGTTGGTTATTTAGTGAAAGAAGGGGAAGGAAGCAGGGGTGGATGGAGGAGAGCCTAGCCTCCCTATCCGCACCTCCTTCGCCTCTGTTGGCACTCGTCGCCATCGTCTTGGTGTTATTATTGTTTTCATCTTACACCAGCTACAGGTCACAGATGGAGAAAACTAAGGTCGGCTTTCATATATTTCTCTTGTTTCTGCCCGTTATATTGATCTTTTTGGCTCACTTTTTGATCAAGTACGGGAGCTTTCCGGTGCTGAGTCCGAAGACCAAGGAGAGGGTGGTTCATCAACCTGAAGGTTCAGCGTCGCCTTGGGGCGTGGCTATGTTTCTGGTGCTCTTGCTCGTCTTGCTCTGTTATCGGTCTTCTTTTCAATCCAACTGGTGGCC